GGTGGGAAAATCAGGTAGAAGGGAAAATACAGGAGATAGAAGAAAGAGGAGATAACAAGTAGCAAAAGTTCAAATTCATAAATCATAATACACAAACAAACAAAAACCAAGCAAAAAGAATAGACTCTGGGTTAGAAGCTGGAGATGCATTGCAATCTGCTACCAAGGATCGGCTTCTGGACCCCCTCTCTTGGCTACACTCTAGAGGCCGAGTACAAGATGAATAAGACTGAACTGATGAAAAAGAAAGAGGGTGACTCTTTAGACTTGAAATCTTTTTGTGCTAGCCCTTTCTTCTGTTTACATTAAATAATATTTGATTGCATAAACTAAGGTGGCTATGTGTGTTAAGTTTGATCATGGCAACCTGTAAATAGGACAAGTAATTAATTTTCATGGTCTGGTGGGAAGGAATAAGTCAATCAACAAGATCCGGATTTTGTCTATTTGGAGATAGGCACTTGATACCTATACTGTTGAAAGAGATCCCTTAATGGCTACAGGAATATATAAAACACTTAAGTCCATTCATGTGTTTATTTATTCACTTATACAATGAATACTTATTTATTCTACAGATATTCATGGAATGACCATTACTTGCTAGAAACTGCTTTGGTCAACAGGGGTGCCAAACACAATTGATACCCCTATCCTCATGGTTTTGTGTTCTAGGAAGAGAAAGATATTTGTCAAATATACACATAATATTAAATATACATATAAAAACCCAATACTAAATACATAATATATACTATAATTATATTTTATATCTGTATATATACACAAATATGCATGTGTATGTATATATATCAAGTGTAATAAGCATTATAAATCTTTAGTATATAAAATTTAAAAACACAAATCTGAAAATGCAATAAACTCTTTCGATAAGACAGACCTATACCACAACTAGCTAGCATGCAGTAAGCAGTCAATAAAGGTTTTTTGGGGGAAAAAATAAAGTTACCCCTAAACTTAATCAAGAACAAAGAAGACAGTCTAAGTGGATGAAGAAGAGGTAAGGGCCTCCTAAGCTGGGGAGCAGAGTGACAAGATGATAAAGCATGGTGTTGAGCGATACGTTTAGGAACCTGCAGCTGTTGTTTTGACTGAAGTACAGAGTTTGTGGCCTTAAGAAGAAAAGTGCACAGGGAAAACTAGAACACAACTCAAATGTCTTCTTGCTCTGGGGTCAACATGATCAGGATACTGTTGGCAGCGGATGGTAACACCAGAGTCCCCTAATCCCCTCCATCGTCCTATGAGGCTGTGCATTCTAGAACTTACTATTCTGCTCCAGGTACAGTACTAAGGGTTAGAGTGAATAAATTAGACTTGAAATCTACTCTCAATGAGTTAATAACAATGGCGACTAACATTTTTTGAGCAATTTCTATTACACATGTGCTGTTTTAAGTGATTGCCCTGTATCAATCTGGTTAATTCTTAAAACAACTCTAGAAACTGAAGTAGAATTTACACAGGAAGACACGGAGGCACAAAATGGTAAATCTTTTTGTTATTATATTTCTGACATCATGCATATTTTCTGACACCATAGTTTCTTAGTTAACATTTTTAATGAATAAATTATCAAGGGACCGATGAATCATGTCAAAACCCAACTTCATTAGGGCCAGGGCAGCACATTCACACTCAGGTCACTGTCTCACTGGTCATTGTACGAGATGAGTGAAAGACAATAGTTCTCAAACTTTCTGAGGCATGACAATCTCCAGAGGTTCTTCCTAAAAATTCTAATTTGTTAGATCTGGAGAGAAGTCCACGATTTTGCATTTGTAATAGGCATCCCCAGCATTTTGCTCTAAGGTGATACCTGGACAAATTTTGAAAAGAAAATAAAAGGAATATTGCTGTACACCATGAGTTGATAATCATTACAGCTAGATAGAAAATTGGTGGATAATGGTTATGGCTCAGCCTGTCAAAGGACGGAGGAGGGTAATGGTGACTTCAATGTCAATAGAAGGAAATCCTTAGCTACAATCGAATCTGGCTGCCCGTCCCACTGCAAGGCTTCCCAACCTTGGTACTATTGACAGTTTGAACCCTATAATTCTTTCTTGTAGGACAGCTATCTTTTGCATTTTAGAATATACAGCAGCAACTCTGGACTTTATGCCCTAGATGCCAGTATATCAACCCACCTCGCAAAGTGTGACAACTGAAAATATCTTTTGACGTTGATAAATGTTGTCCAATTGCCTGTAGTTGGGATCCACTGCCACAGTGAGAGACAACTTCCTCCAGTCCCTTCCTTATAAGCAACTTTGGGCCTTGTAGAACTGCACAGTGTTAGGCACCAGTTTCTTTTCCTATGAGTGTTTCTCTGTGAGACACTATCGTTTGTTTGATGTGTACAGACTACCTCCTTGGCTTTTTTCCAGAACTCATAGGTCATCCTTCTCCGCCCCATCCGCCACACACAGCTGGTTTATTAACTCAAATGAGATAGGCTATCCCAGTCAAGACATGGATGATACATAAAATCATCAGTCCTCCTTCAGGATCCTGAGGGCTCAGGTCCCTTCTACGCAGTTTACAAGGAAATATAATGAACTATGATGGCAGAATAAAATCAGTTTCCCAGAAGACATATATTATAAAAAGGAAAAGAAATATTGAGGAAAGAGACATAAAAATAGTCAGAAAAGTGCTTGAAAGAAAGGAATGAAATAAATTTGAAAATAGTTCACAAAATTGGCAATAAAACTAGATTTTCAAAAATGCAGGACATTTTCAAGTTTGAAAATTACTCCAGTTTTTTTTAATCATTTACAACAGCAATTTTGAACTGATGTGCCATAAGAATTTTTAAAACATGCAATACTTGACTATTTAGTCAGGGGCACTGATTTATTTTCTCCTAGATTGTCAAAATAAAAAAATGACAAGAGCCAACACAATAGCCATCTGGTGCAAATGAATAAAAACATACTTATTTTTTTTTTGTCAGATAAAGGCAGAAATATAATGCATCTTTTGTTTTGCCACCCAATTTTAGTAATTGGTTTATCTGTGTCATGAGATGAAAAGATTCAAAATAGCTGATTATGAGAATGAACAAGCAACGTGTAACTACCCAAGGGGGTATATCTTTCACCTTTCCTTTCCATTAATTTCCCTTAACTGTTCTCAGTATCTTTCAGTTACATATGAAAACAATAAAGGTAAAATCTTAATACTTTTGATGGGAGAAAACCACCAACTACTATTGTGTAACACTATGCAGCATCATATTTCCAATACTATATGAACAAATCTTACCTAACTTTACCACAATGCAAAGAGTAACTAAGTATTTATTATTCACTTCCTACTTCTAGTGAATTAATTCCTAGTTCACAGACTAATCAGATCAGTGAATTACTGTGTCCAGCTAAAGAAACAGTTATCCAAAGCACATTCTTAATTGAAGCAGAAAAAATTAGAAAAGAAACTGTCCAGATTTATATTGATATAAACTTTTAACTAAATTTATTCACCTCAAAATCAATTATAATGGACCTTATTGTTACATAAATTATTTGGTATTAGCTACCTCGACTAAGTGCTTTGTGGAAGAAAATAATGCTCCCCAATTAACGTTTAATAGAAGAATAACAAGGAGGTCAATACCTATTTTCAGAGGAGACTAAAAATATGGAGAATCAATCAGAGAGGAAAGAAAAGCCCAACATTGCACCATCTGTTATTCTGGGCAAGAAAATATCTGTAACCTTGTTACCACCATCCAGTCGCTGTGATTTCAGAAGGTAGGATAGCAACAGTTACCTTACCTTCTTGCACAAACACTATTACTTCTGCCATGAACAGTTTGCAGGGAGACAAATGCTGTGTTAACTATGTGGTAAATTGCAGTTCACCTTTGAATCTGGCCCGCTACACGTGGTTGCGGGTGATTAATGAGAGCCCCAAAGACCCCAACCCTAGGCGCCATCGGGGGGAAGCAGGGATTTAGGACGGCAGAACGGCAGAAGATGGCTCGGCAGAGCTAGCCTGTTTCCACCACCATCGCTGCCTTGCCTGCACAGTTGTTCAAGCTGCCAGAGGCTTTCTGGTTGCCATGGCAACTGTTGAGCTCTGCTGCAAACTCAAAGCAGGGCCTCTGAAGTTAGGTACCAAACATTGGAGCTCAACAAATGCACTTGCAACTGCGGAGGGAGGAGAGAACGGGAATTACCCGTGTGCTAGGTCTACAACTCCTATGGCTCATAGGACATTTTAAAAATCGGGTTTTTATTGTTTTGTAAAATGAGATGGTTCTTGCCTGGCAATATTCTTTAGTATCATCTTCTGGTCCCCGGAGAGAGGAGACTGCAAATCATCTCGCTCTTAAGGACCGGGAAAGAGAGTTCGGAAACGCGATTACTAAGAATGCACCGAGCACGCCCAATTCATTCATTCGGTTACATAGTCACCATCTCTCTCCTTAGATTCATTTTTCCCGGCGTTGTGCCAGCTTCCGGAGCTGCAAAGAGAAATGAGACACCGCCTCACACTCAAAACGAATGACAATTAACAAAAATTAACCGAACCTTCGCGAGCCTGGGGAAAACTAAGTAGGGACTGCAATCTTCCCACGAGTCTCTGAAAGCGAATTCAGAATCCACACGCGGGAGAGGAAGGAGGCAGCGGCCCCAAAATACTGCCAGGCAGGAGCGAAGGAAGGGAGGAGGAGACCTCTTTCCCTAGGGAGGGAATCTGTCAAGGCCACGCAAACGTTTCCCAGAGGCTGGGAGGGAGAAGACGTTTGTTTTTCTTTTAGAAAGACGGAGCCCTTTTCCCTACTGGGCTCGATTTCTAGTAGGGGGAGGCCCGCCCCTGGGGGCCGTTGATTGGCCCATATGTTTTTTCCCGATAATTTATGCCAGCATCTTCTCGGTCTGATTGGCTCCCCTCTCAATTCCGCTGGGAGTCGCATCCTACCTGGTTGGGAGGTGTACCATCTTCCCACACTCCCTGGTACTCACACACCCGGCTGCGGCTGCGGCGGAGGTGGGAGAACGAGTCCTGGCGTGGAGAACTGAGCGGAGAAAGCGATCCCCATGGGTCCTCGGAAAGCTTGTCTCTTCTCCCCTTTTCTTCTGTGGAGTCAAAGTAGAGGGGTGAGGCTGATGTTCCTGTTACTAACCCTGCATCTCGGAAACTGGTGAGTGCATGCAAGGACTTGAAACTATTCTTTGGTATTGACCCCCTTCCCCTTCATTTCTTTTTCTTTCAAAATTCATTCTAAGTTAAGTAATTTGCATTTCCCCGGTGCATGTGTGATATTTTATAATCATTTTCTTTCCTGATTAATTCTGCCCATTTTCAGATAGAATGAAATGAACCTATGTGTGAAGCATAGAGGTTAGTCCAGTTGTCTTTGACTTGAAGCACAGTCAAAACTAGTCAAGACTCAGTTACTGGGAGGAGAGTAGAAACGATTTTGCCACTAAATTTAGTGAATGAATGCCATTGATGAACTTTCTGATGATTCTTCATTTTAAAGAAAAAGTTATTTTAAAGTTTCATAGCACGGTATGCATGGTGTTTTCTACATACTAATGTTTTCCTTCCCCCTCCCCCTTCTTTTTTGCTATTCTAGAACAAAAAAGTTTCACATCAAGGAAAATTGTAAATATGGCTACAGTCTATCAGGATCATGTGTTATATTTATGTTAGAAATAGCTATGTGTATTTTATTGAGCCAAATTTCAATTATTTTCATTTTAATTAGCTGTCTACAATAAAAATTTTATGGTAATATAAATGTTGTCCTGTGTGTGTGTGTTTGTGTGTGTGTGTGAGAGAGAGAGACAGAGACAGAGAGACAGAGACAGAGAGAGACAGAGACAGATAGAGAGATTACCAGCCTGAAGCCTCCAATTTTGTAGGAGAAGACTTGGCATGCTTGAGTTGTAGTACCTTTCAATAAAACTTTTACATCATGTTGAAAAATGTAAATTGCTCAGGTATTGCATCTGGCTATAGGAGTAGTTGATGAACAAAGTTAAAATATATTGATTAAGACATAGACACTATAAAGGCCTTGGACATATTATTCATATGTATAACTGTGTTATACGTTTTATACAAGTATATATTTAAAGTTATGTTATTGTATGATGTGATTCTGCTTAAAATTCAAGAGTAAAATTCAATTGCTATGCAGATGGAAACATACCTTTATAACTACTTGCATCACTGCTAAAATGAATTATTGTGATTCATTGTAGTATATATCAAGAGTGAATATTTTTGTCAATACCAGCAGATAAAACAATTATATATTCTTTCTGAAAATATAGAATAAAGTGTGCTAGGTAATATTAGACATGACAGAAAATGTTTGACATGTAATGCTTTTTTTAAGTATTACAGTTTTAGTTTATTTACCATTTTTCTTTAGAAACTTAAATGTTCAGGGTACAAGCATACTACTTGATTAATTTCTTATATATAGGTTGTGTCACAATGGCTTATTTCTTTGAATATATCATGGAAAAAATTATAGAAGATATTTTGAAAAAATATGTATCCGTGTTCTCATGCATCTTCATAATATTAGAAATGAATTAGTGTTCTCATAAATAAAAACAGATTTACACAGTGGTTTTCTGAAATAATAAACTGTATTCTCTTTTACCATTGTAAGTGCAAGTTTCCCTTGCAAGCTAATAGACAAGCTGCTCACTAAAGGACATAGAGAGTTGTTTTGTTTTAAACAGTATCTTTTGTTTTTGACAATACTTACATTATGATTGTCATAACTGGCTCCAGAAAGCTCTTCAGGCTGTTCAGAATTTAAAAAGTTGTGTGTTGCAGTGGATAGAGACGGGTTCTGGCAGTCTGGAGCCATGATTTTATATGTCAAGAGTCCTAACCTCTGAAGAGTTTCTTCATCAAAGAAAGTAAGGGCATTAGTAGGTCATCAATGATTGCTTCAACTTTTCACATGCAATATGTCCAAGATTTGAACTGAAACATCAAATAACTCAATAGTTGTTTTAGTGGATTTTCGTAGTAGTTTTCAAGAGGGAAGTTCTAATTGGAAATTCCATGTACATTCTGTACCATATGTATGAAGAAGTGAGACAGAAGAGACATGCAGTTCATTTTATCATAGTACTATAGATAATCTGGATTATTCTAGACAGTAGATAAAGACTTAAAAAAATAAAGCTATATGTTGCCATTATAATGAACTCTTAGATCCTCAATTATGAGAATTTATATCTTCACTTTTTTAAAGTAGTTACAGTGTAGTGAACTTTTCATTTTTTAAATATTTAGTGGAGATAACTGATGTAAACATATAAACCATTTACATATATATTTCTTTCTCTCTTTTTTCTTCTTTTAAGGAATCTTTTCAAAACTAACCATAGATGGTTCTGTTTATAAGAATTTTGTTGTTTTATGCTTGTTTCTAAAATAAATCATCAAAGTCATCTATTTTGAGATTACCAAATTGGAAACTCTAATTTCTTATATCTCAGCAGAGAGCTTATTTCCTCATTAGTTTCCATCAAGAGCACAAAGGAGAGACAGTATATTGATTTTTATATTGCCGAACTATGAAAACCTATCTCATTGTTGTAACTAAAGCTATAGTCATGGTTTCTGTGTTTCATTCTCCATGAGGCTCTATGGCATCTTGACAAATTACTTAAAATCTCTTAAGCTTAATTGGACTTAATTTGTAATTTTGGGGGAAAATCTGATTTTCATCACTTTTTAAAAAGAATTTAAAAATGTTTTCATATTTTAGCTGTTCTAAAAAGTAATTTATGTTTTGACTAAGAAGATATATTTTGAAAGAGATCAAGAAAAATCATTTGTTTTGATTTTTTAAAACAATTTCATGAATCAGTAATATACAATTTAGCATTCAGTTGCCCAAATAGAAATATCCAAACATGCTTGCTTTATAAAATATATAATTTCAAGTAATTTCAGCAATATATTTTGTTGAGGGAGTTGTGAATGAATGATTTTTGTTTTAGTCATCTGGACTTTTGCTTAATTTTCTAGCATATACTAATGATCACCATGCAAACTTGAGGGCAAAATAGCTAGGTGTGATGTTTTATGATAATTAAATATTCAAAAAACTGAGAAAAAATGATTTTGAAAGTAAAATTCAAATGCTGTAATCCATAAATCCCTTGTGTGTACAATCTTTTACGTATACCTTTATTAACATTTTATTTTATAATTTACTTTAGGTACACACTTTTGACTAAGCAATGAAATAAAATGTTTGACATTTCATTAAAACTAAAATAGGCTAATTTAATATTGTATATTTATATTAAGGTGGTTGAAATGTGTTTAAGAAAATAACTGTGAAGGTGAAGTTCCAAAGGAGAGGAGACATAACAGGGGGGAAAACTGAGCAAATGACTCAATATTATGAAAATATGGTAAATCACTGCAGTGGGGTAATGGAGACAAGTAAACACAAATTGAATATACAGACCTGAGGAGAATAATTGACGTATATGAATGGCACCACAAGAGAATTCGAGACTTTAACATCAGACGTAAATTCTTGTTTCAACTCTACCATTTCCCACCAGGTTGATTTCAGGCAAACTTTTGAGGCAGAGCATCCTCATTTGTGAAGGACAAAATAACATTTACCTTTTCAGATTATTTTAAGATCAAGATAAAATATATTTGTGGAAAAAATATAACACAAATTTTTAACTAAAAAGACATAATAACAGATACCCTGGAATTACATTGATTCTAATATTATTTATCATCTTTACAGTGGTGTTAAGTGCAATGAAGTGAAGTCATTTGATTCTTGAGTATTAATATCTTTTGAATTTGAGATAGATTCTTCCTTTACAACAATTATTTGTTGAATGCTTTCAACATGCTAGGTTTGCCCAGACATGAGTACTATACATATATGGAGCTAACCTTACTGCAAAGACCTAAACTTATACTATTAATCAAAAGAAAACGTCTTGTAGTCAGAATAAGGACATATACCTTTAGAACTCCAAAGATAAACAAAAGAATCTAAATATTTAAGGACAGGGGAGCTGATGGAGTAGATCACAATCAAGGAAAGAGTAGAAGAAAGCTGTGAGATTTCTCACAGCGCTACCAGAGGACTATGGGCGAAATGTCTCCAAAATTCTAAAGTCAAGTGTTCAGCTTGGAGGGTTATACCTAGCAAAGCTGCCAATCAGAGATAAAGGGAGAATGAAGTCCAAATACTCTTAGTCTACCCATTTTACAGCTGGGAAAACTGGGGCACAGTGATTTTTAGGAATTCGCTAAAGATCGTCTTGCTGATAAGTGCTGAATCCAACACTCAAATCCACATGTTCTAGGCCCGGAGTGTGTACCCTAAAGCACCACACCTCTCAGATTACAAATGCTGTATAAGTAAACCGAATAACATGAGTATGGATGAAGGAACAAAAAGGAAGGGAGGAGAGGAAGACGGGAAAGGCAGGGGTGGATAGCGCAATTGAAAGAAGCACAGTAAGTGTAGAAATCTGTTGTGTACCTTTCACATAATCTGAAATATTAGGTACAGTACTAGACTAATTATTTTGGTAAAAACTAACAAACTGGAATGCTTGATCTATAAAAATCACCATAAGATAAAGTGTTAAAAGCAAGAATTTTAGAATTTACGTATGTTTTGTTGAAGAATCAGGTGGCTATTTATTTCTAAACGTGCTATATAAATCATAGTTGAATTTATTATGTCTATGTGGAAGAGACAAACCAGAACCAATTAGTGGAAACTATGTGAAGGGATTTTTAATACAAACACTCTGTAACAAAATGAAGGATGCCTTATCACTAGGCTTATTCAAGCAGAAGCTTGTTAGAGTTCTTGTACTCTGTGGGAAGCAAATGACAATACATGGTATTTTTCTTTTAAATACCTCAGAAGCTAATTCTATCAGTATTCAAATAGTTTATCCAACTGAAGCCCCGCGTTTCAGGAAATATAGCTGTTATCTCATTCAGTAAACATTTATTGAACATCAGCATTCATTTTTGTCTACTATGTATTAAGTAGAGTTCTGAGACCTGGAGAAATAGTGGTAAACAAGATGTAATCCTTGCGCTGATAGTGTTTATGCAATGTCTATAAAACATATATGTGATAGCATTTCTGCCAGATACACA